AATTTTTTTCCTATGTAAAAATGATTCTTATCACACAGACTATACAAAAATGGGCAGTTAGGGGTCACAGTTTGCTGGCCCCTGGGGCAGAGCCCATGTGAGACAAATCAGGTGCCACAGCAGGGCAGATTCATCAGGTCATATAGCGCATCTCACCACCCGCTCCCTTGGGGACCTCACCCCTCTGAGTTCAGTTTGCTGAAGGGTCTTCTAATTATCTTTCCTTGTAACTTGCTTATAGGCAGAGAAAACAGACTGGGGAGTTCACAGTACCCAGACCCCTTGGAAATTCTATTTCTCATTGTGAATTACAAACCCAACATTTTTCATGATAATTTGACTTCCCATGTAGCTTGCCTACTGGGAGAGACTCTGTTCTGCCAAGGCAAACATCCGCTCCACTTGAGTAGCATTTCTTATTATAAATTAATAAATTGGCATCAGGGTGTATATATAAATATCAGTCCCCATGAGTTTGGTAAATATATGTCACAAAAAGATGAATCTCCATAGCACTCAGCTCACCAAAGCTGATTGCTGTGGCTCCAAGGCCAGCGACCAGTCCTTGGGCCCCTCACAGGCCAGTGCCACCTTGAGAACCCTCCAGGCAACCAGCTAGGTCTCTGGTGAGGAGATTCTGGGCGGTGCTGCACTGTCAGCCTTTCCATTGTGTAGGCAGCTGTATGTAGGAAAACTGATGGTGGATAAGCGGGCCGGAGGGTAGGTAGATCAGTCAAGGGACAGATAGGTAATGGATAGAGACCAGTGGGTAGGAGGGTGGTGCATGCATTAATGCAACCCATAGGTTTGTGTCCACCAGAGAGTGAGCCTGGTGGGCGCTGTAGTGACCCAAAGTGTAGCTATAGGTGACTCAAGCGGCAAAAGTACTAGAACTAACAGATGTTGAGTACCTACTGTGTGCCAGCACTAGACACAGGGTTGTTTCCCTCTCCACATGCCCCTCTCTCTATTCTCATGACCTGGTATGTGTAAGTTTGACTTTCACAGACCTTATTTAGGCTCTTCTTGGCTCAATTCTTTTATGCTGCTGGGGCTTTCAGGAGCTGGGGGGGGGGTCTCCTCTCATACCCTCTCATTTGATCCAGCAGATGCAAAGTGGTTTTGCCCCAAACATTACTTCCAGGGGCAGAGCTTAACCAAAGAGAGATTTGGCAATAATAAAGTCTTCCAAAATGGGTCTCCAAAATGCTTACTGACCTCCTCCCCCTTTCCTTTCTTCATAGCAGTGCTGTAATCAACCCTACCTTTGGCTCATTATAGGTCAGACTCAGATCCCTCTTCCCATTCAGAAATCTCCAGGCCCTTTCCTCCAAGAAGCCCTCCCTGATTGCTCCTACTCCCCTACAGAATGTTGCCACTTTGTGTCTGAACTTCATCATTTCACACAGAAGATATAGTAAGGGGTGTGTGTGTGTGTGTGTGTGTGTGTGTGTGTGTGTGTGTGTGTTTTGGGGGTTTGCTCTGAGGCTTTCCCACCTCCCCTCTCCTGGGAGTTCAGCCAGGATGAGCCCCCATAGGTGATGATCAGCAACCAGCTCAGGCTGATTACTCCATCTTAAATGAAGAACCGTTTAATTTTCCTAGCGAAGCTTCCCTCGGTGGATGCACTGAGGGAGCAAAACAGGCCTATAGGAGGAGGGAACCACCAGCAAATCAACACAGAGCCTGGCTATTATTACTTTTTTGTTGTTGTTAATTTATCCTCTGCTTGGCTCTGATAGGCTCCAAGATGACAAAATAAACCCAGGAATTGCCTCCCTGCTCCCCAAAACTCAATCTTCAACAAGGGAGTGCTCAGTCTGTGGCATAAATTAGCAGAAGCCGAGTGTAAAAATATGATTCTGTGAACAAACAAAAGCCTCCAGTCATGAGACCAGCAGCCGCTGAGCTGTTCTCACCACCTTCAGCTCTGTTTCTAAGCAATTAAAATGCAGAGGGAGGAGACTACAGGCCCACCCCCTGGGGCTAGGAGGGAGCTGGAGATAGAATCAGCCCATCAGGCCCTCAGAACTGCTACCAGGGCTGGCCTGGCAGGCAGGTGACCTGGTCTGCCTTACCTTAGTTCGCTGGAGAGACTCCAGGTAGGTTTGTGCCTCTTGGCCTCAGTTTCTTCATCTCTAAGATGAGCATAATTACTCCTGGTGGCTTTTTCACAAAACCAGCATGAAAATCAGACAAAATAAAAGGTCAGAAAAGGTTCGAGGAAAGGAAGAGGCATGTGAGGGGTGGCTGCTGGGACTCATGGTGAGTCACAGGGCTTCCCGGGAGGGTGCATTCTACCCAAGACCTCCCTTCCTATCACCGCCTCCACCTATGCCCATTGTACAGATGTCCACAGTGAGGCTCAAGAAATTCAGGTTTAACCCAAGGTCACTTTCCAGAAATCAAGCCATGTCTGCTAGACACTGAAAATCCTGGCCTGCCTTCTCTACCTTGTCCTCAGAGCACTGGCAAGTTAACAGCAGATAGCCTAGGCTAGTGTGAGACTGGCGTGAGCTGGCACAGAGACCTGGGCCTGGTTCACCAAGGCTCATCTCTATGGAGGTTGCATGTCCCACAGCACAGCTCTTCCCAGGACAGTTTAGATTAAAACTATCATCAGAGGCTGAAGGTATCAGTTCTGTGGCCTCTCACAGTAAGATTCTGGCCACTCAGAAGGCCCGTTATGTGGTAGAACATTGGGGTCCCTGGGATGACAAGACTGACCAGACCCTACCCCAACAGCACCCAGATCCATGGGCAACTTTCATGAGAGGATGTGAGGTGGTGGTAAGAACAATGGAGAAAAATAAAAGGAAAGGTGGGGGGAAGGTGGTTTATAGTTTCCAATTAGGTGGCCTAATTCAATCCTTAAAATAGCCCATACTTGACAGTTGAGGATACTGAGACTGTAAAAGGCCCAAGGTCTGACAGTGAGGTAAGGACAAGCTAAGATTCGAACTGGAATGTTCAGATGGGGGAGCTCTGATCTAAACTACCAGGCAACCATAACTCCAGCTGGCTCTGTAGCAGACAAAAAGCAATCTGGATGGAGATTCCAGCAAAATAAAAGATCAAGAAGTTCTGACTACCTGGCACAGTCAGGAGGGCTTCATGTGAGAGGTGGCAACACTTGAAGCTGGTAGGGGAGAGTTCTCTGCTGCCCCCATCAGAGGCTGGACTGGAGTGGTGGGGAGTGCTGGTCAGGCTGAGCTACCTCTGTCTCCTTGCAAACCTCCCCACTGCCTGGAGGACTGGCCACATTCTCTCAGCCAACCCTGTCTTCCGAAGCTCATTTGGCTTGGAGCCAAGCAGAGACAAGAAGTCCCTTCCTGTGCCAGCCTGTGCCAGGCCCACAGCCAGCCAGGGCCGTGGCTCCCCCTGGTTGCCTGCACACAACAGAAGAACCTCCAGCCCTGAGCATCAGCCCATTGGCCCAGCAGATAGACTGATTATTTTTTTCCAACTACATAGTCGTAAGCATAAACTGGAAGATACATCCCTTCCTTTATGGGAGACAATCAAAAACACAATACCAGTTTATGGAGGGAATGTGGCTTTCTTACACAGGATTTTTGCCCCCCAGACATTTGGCAGCCTCAAACCACTTCATTCCAGAGATAAGTAGTCAAGCAAGAGGAAGGGCAGAATGAGGAAGAGAAAATCCAGAGGCCCTGGGCAGTTAGAGATGCAGAAGGGGTGGTGCTCCCCTCATTTCTCATCCCCCTAAAGAGCAGGCAGTCTGAGGTAAGCGCAGGGAACCACAGTCAACTTTGGCAGCTGAAAGCATAGACCAAGATGTCACCTCACACAACTTCTGTCAGTGCAGCTTCCCCAGGCAGCTCCGCCACAGCATGCCCTGTACTGGAAGCTGAGGACAGGCAGACGGTGAGCAAAATGAATTAGGAGTGTGTAGCTATCTGGTCCTTTCTCTTCCTGCTAAGTCTTTCTTTTCTTCTCTTTCTACCACATTCCAGGGCACCCAAACTAACCACCTGTGAGCAACAGCTCCATAAAACTTACTCTCTGGGCCACTGAGGCAGCAGCAGTGTCCAAAATCAAGCGCACCTAGTCGCTGGAACAGAGGCACCTCTGGCTCAGTCACTCTTAGAGGAGGACAGTTCTATTCAAGCTTCGGCGTCTACCTCAAGCATCTGCTGCCAGTCTCTCCACTTCCTTCCTGGTGCAGATGTCTTCTGGGTTCCTGGATTAGTGTGATCCAGGGGGGGCCAAGGATTAGACATTCCCAGGAATAACCCTGACCATGGGGGGATACAAGCTTGGGGGTCACTGCTCCAGCTTCTATCTTTTAGGCAAATAGTTCAGAAGTCTCAGGAGAACAGAGATCCACCCCATCCCCATCTTGGCTTCTCTGCTGATGCTCAGATATCAGCTTTTCCACCTTTGCTCTCCTACTGCCCACTCCCTCCCTCCTGCTTCCAGAGATTCCCTCCCAAGCACACCACCCACCACCTGCACCCAAGTACTGCTCTCAAGTTTTGCTTTCAAGGGAACCCAAACTAAGAAAGTGCCCCCCCAAACTCCTCCACATACAATATGGCCTGCCAAGCACCTCTAGAATTGCTTCTCATGGTAAAGGAGCAGAACCGGGTGGCAGCTGGTGGAGAGGGGGCAGGGGCCCTCCCTGAAAACTGTCCCTCCCATCTCACCAACTTGGCCACAGCTAGAAAGGCCAAGCCCAGGGGAGGTGGGGCAGAGCTCAGCTCCACCACCGCCCCCCATGTGACCTTTGCCATGTCATTTCACCTCTCACAGCCCCCTTTCCTGTCTGAACTGAAAGCATAATAATGCCCAAGCCAAGCGGTTGGGTTGTGAGAGTTGAATGAAATCATGTGTGGAAGAAGAAGAACTATCCAGGCTGAAAACATGAACCACTGTGTATATGAGTTTTGTCTCCCTCAACAGACTGCCAGTTCCTTGAAGGCAAGGGCCTTCTTGATTGATTTTTTTTTTCTTTTCTGTCTCTCCCATAGCACCAGCATGGAGCTGGATATACAGGAGGCTCCCATTGAAAACTCCATGCGTGGAGTGAGGATTGGCCCTGGGCCCTGGGCGCCTCTCAGACAAAGCTCCGAGTAGCTGATGGCGGCTGACTTTGAGGAGCCCTGTATGGCACAGAACTGGTCTGGCCTTATGCCCAGTATCAGCAGGAGCCTTCCCAAGCTGGAAGTGGAAGGTGGGCTGGCCAGAACCTCGGAGAAGTGGTGCTAGCTGGCACAATTGTCCCCACCTTCCTGAAAAATCCAGGGTGATAGTGCAGGAGGGGCTTTCATCAGCTCCCAGCTCTCTTTGAGTAAAAGGAAAAAATTGGCTTCCACTCCGAGCCCAACTGCATCCGACATCTGGCAGCTCAAAGTGAAGTGACTCATGCAATCCTTAGATACAAGGAAGCAGGGGGAGGAGAGGGAGCAGGAAGAGAAGAAAATCCACACAGAGGGAAGGAGGACGGGCAGGCCATGCAGCCCAGATAAAAGAATCAGCAGCCAGAATGAAGCATCAAGGTTGGTCCCAGGCCCAGGTGGCTGACAATGAGTTGCCCAGAATTTTTTCTGCCCACCCAGTTTTTGGCCTGATGACAGGGACTTCTGGCACCAGGCACTGCTGCCCTAAAGAATCAGGCAGGATGCTACAGGTAGTGAGCAGCCTGTCCCTGGAGGCACGCAAGAGCAGCTGGGTGAGCCCCGGTAGGGGTGTGTTAAAGGCTCTGCTCTAATAATTACATCTGACCCTGTGATAATCCATCAAGGAAGAGGCTGGCCTAGAGGTAGATGAAGTCATTGGGATGAGGGGATCCTAATCTCATGCCTAAACCTGGTTGTTAGATTCCAGGCGCAGAAGTAATCTCTGTCGTGTAGGTGACAAGGGCAGCCAGGATGGGGTGAGGGAACCTTCCTCAGCTTCCCCTGTACACGAGAACTTGCTGGGGTGGGGTGGGGAGTGGAGGAGGACACCTTATCACAGGCCTGCCTCCTTTGGGAGCTCAGAGCACAGCATGGGGGGAAGCAGCAGGCCTGTGGAGGACAGCGGAAGGAACCTGGATTGCACACAATCCAATTAATTTCATCAGAACACACTCAGGAAGTGAGAGGTCAGCTGGTAGGGTCAATTTTAGGAAAATTCTTGGAAGAAGTAGAAGCTGGAGCAGCTGGAATCACAGACAAAGGTCCAGCTAATATAAGGGGGACTTGGTGAGATAGAAATCGGGGGAGATCCCTCCTGGTGGTGGTATAGGGAAAGGCTAACCTGCCAGGGGCAGGAGCAGGTGATCAGGGGTGGGTTACTCATCCTCCATTCTTTCTAGACCTCTTGAGGACCTATTCTTTCACGGTTTCCTCCTGATGATGGGAAACATCAATGTTTCCTGCCCCCTGATCCTCTAGGAGGGTTGCATTCCAGTGTAGGAGGTGGGGGGCAGGCAGGCTGGACTACACAGTCTGTGAAGGCCCTTCCCACCTACTCCCAGACTCTCACAACTCAGAGGTCTTCTCTCTGCCTACTCAGTGGCATAACTGCCAGCCTCTCCCTTTGCCTCAGCCACCTCTGTGGGTCCTCAGCACCAAGCTCAACTCCTTCTTAGCATCCTCCCCAATAGCACCCCACCAGTCAACCCCAGGCCTTCGTCATACTGCTCCTCTCCCTGACCATGCACTTGCTTCTCATCTCTGAGCAAGCCATAGGTCCTGGAAGTAAAGGTCCACACATCTTCCTCTCAGCCTTCCCTGAGCGCAGGGGCAGGGCGGGGTCCATCCTGGGAGCAGGTCATGGCCAGGGATCTGTTCCCTCCCGTGGCTGGGCGCCCTGTCCACAGCGACCTGCCCCAGGAGCACAAGGAGCTGGTGTGCTTTCCTCCTCACCTCTCATGAACCTTGGCCCATTGTTCTCTTCTTGCCTCTCAGGAGGGCGCCGCGTGGACCTTTGGAGCAGCCAGCCTCCTGGCTTGTGTGCAAGCATCTGCCCCTTGCTGGATGATCACAGACAAACCAGGGAAACTGCCTGCACCTCAGAGTCCTCACCTATCAAACGGGGATGTGATAGTACCTAGGGTGCTAAGGAGCAGGAATCAGGTAAGCTGTGTGAAGTGCCAATGGGCACCCGGCATTTCATTGGGGTTCAGTGGTCAAATAGTGCTGTTGTGAGAACCAAAGCCCCTGGAGAGGAAAGTTTGGAAGCATGGAGGGCTGTTAGGGAGGCATGGCTGAGGACCCCTCATTAACCCTTGAGACGCAGGAGAGTTTGAAGGGAAGGGACTGTGGCAGGTGGCTTTGATAGTATAGAGTATGGGTCCTGAGCAATCCCAGAAGGATTTGTGGTGCTGGGTAAGCTGTGGGGGTGAGGGCTACTGCTGAAGGCAAAACCGCTTCAGTCACATTAGGACTTGTTCAGTCAGGGAGTTTGAGAGAATGGCATCAAGGGATAGGCAGGTCCTGTCCCCCTCCTCGGGCTTAAGCCCTAGCAGCTGACTCTGCCTTACTGCAAACCCGAACTGGAGGTGGAGAGTGGGGGGCCTGCCAGGGAGGCAGGCAGGCCAGGGGTAGTCTGGCAACCACATGTCAGGAGAAACTTTCACCTCGATAATAGTGGGTCTGGGGGCAGGTATTCTGGCTTTGGCCTATTTCCTTCCCTCTGTCCCCCAGTGCCCAGCAGCTGATCAGTAAGCCTCTGATGAATGAATGAATAAGAACAGGGATTGAGGTACAAGGCTGAGCTTGTCACAGGACACTCCAAAAGTCTATCTTCTTCAACCCTCCTCCCCAAGTCCCTGCCTCTGCCCCTGCTGCCACCCCTGGTTCAGCCCCTCTCTCTGCCCCCAGAGCAACCAGCCCCTGCCAGCCCCCATCCCTGCCTGGCAGCCCCAAGTAGGCTGCCAGGAGAGCCAACTTGCAGGCTTTCTGTTGTCATTAGCTGTCAGGTCTCAAGTAATAGTGCCTGTGGAGAACCAGCTGCTTCCTCTCAAGAGTTTGCAAATGCAGCCCGGGAAGGGGCGGGCAAGCCGAGGGGCAGGCCAACTGCCGGCACCGCGCCTTCCTCGGACGCCCCGCCCCATGCGCGGGCCTAGTGTGCTTGCCACACTCTGAGAGCGCCTCCTACAGGTCAGGCCGCAAAGGACCACGCTGTCCACCCCTGAGGCCCTCCTGGCCTGGAGGGTCTCATCCCAGCAACACTCCTACCTGGCCCAGGCCACTCCTGGGGAAACTGAGGCTCAGGCATGGTATATGCCTTATTCCCCCCACCTCTGAGCAAGAGGCCAGAGCACACTTCCATCTCACTTGCCAAGAGGTGGGTGAGGTATAGATGGTTGGCATCATGCACAAGTGAGTCTAGCCTTGGGTATTTGTGGCACTGACAGAACACTGGTGGGTCCCAGTGTTGGTCCTTGAGGTCAAGAGGCCAGAGGGAGGAAAGAAAGGGAGCCCCCCCCCACCTTTTTGTAGTTAGTAGGTGCTCAAGGCAGGAAGCTCAAGGCAGCTCATCACTCCCCCAAACCAGTGGTGTCAAAGGCGTTAATTGCTTCCAACTAATGTGACCAACTCTTCTCAGCTCTTCTGCAGTTTTCCTGGTTTGGCATCAGAAGTCAAACATCGCAGGAAGCCTCTCAGTCTCAGGCAAACCAGCACAGTTGGTGTAGGGTAAGTAAACTGGTCAGGCTTTTACGCCACTGGCCTCTTTGACTATCACCTAAGCCTTGATTGTGCTAATGCAGGAGGCAGTGGGAGCGGGGCTCGGGGTACTCACGCCTGACTGTGGACACCTGGAGCATGGTGTGGGCGTGTGTAAGTGGACAAACGTGAGCCTGGAGGCAGAGGCTGTAAGGGCAGCCACGAACTGCTACTGCAGAGCAGCTGCAAAAGGACAAGTGACTGCAGAGACCCAGGACCACGAAACGACGCCAGGGAGAGCCCAAAGAGCAAAGCATACAAATTCACGGGGGGCTGGGAAGGCTGCCAGCCTCCTGGCCCCCCGGCCTCCCTGCCTTGCCAGCCTTGGTCCTTGCCTATAATTAGTGTAGAAAGAGCATTTAAAAGCCTAAAAAAAGCCACTGAAGGATCCAGGACTGTGCTTTACCCGTCTGCCTGAATCGATAGAGCACCTGCCCCATGCCTTGCTGGCACTAGCTGGTCACCCCACTTCCAACTTGCCCCACCTCCACCCTCACAGTGGAATACAGCCAGGGGTGCTTGGTCACCTCTGCCACATCTGTGGGAACCTAGCCCCCCTCCCCCACCGGAAACAGCCCTGCTCTCCTGTGAGGCCCCACAGGCTTCCCACCCTAGAAAGCGCCCACAGTGCCACCTCTGGGCTCTGATTGGCTGAGTGGAACCAGCTGCACTGCCCTGTTAGGCCCCTCTAGGCCATAAAGAGACACTGACAAATGGGACTTCTCAGGTAGCCCTCCCCAGAGGACAATCCAAAGCCCAGACCTCTGGCCAGCGAAGGGCAGGCCCAGGGCAAGAGGCAGAACTCCTCTGCTATGACGTGCCTGGAGTAACTGGCCAGAGCGCTCAGCCAGGCTCGAGCTGCCCTCTGGCCCCCTCCTCTGCCTGCTCAGTGCCCAGTCCAGCAGGGGCCAAGCATTCTTAACTAGGTCACCCCCTCCCCCATCCTCACCATCACGCCTCCACCAGTGCTAGCATTTCAGCTGCAATTAAGAATTTCTAGTTGCAATTAAAAATTAATTGGAAACTGTGGGTTGTTTGTGTCTCCCTGACCTCCGTCACCCATGAGCTGGAGGGGGTGGGTGTGGAGAAGGGAAGAAGGACAGGTGAAAGAAGACTTTTCAGAGCAGTTAACCATGGGACGCAGGGGCCCTCTGAAGTGACTGAGGTTGCGCTGGAGCAGATTTCTACCCGAGGCTGAAAGGAATGACATCAATTAGCTGACCTTGAATGCAACGTTCCTTAATTCTTTGAGAGCCCCAGCACATGGGGGTCTTTGTGGGGGAGAAAAGAGTGGAAGAAATGCATGTAAGGAAACTGGTGGCAGAGCCAGGCCAGAAGGTAAAGTTCGGGGTGTCTCAGTGGCTTCCCCTTCCTGGAGGCACTGACAGCCAGCCAGCCGGGAAAAGAATTGGGACCAGTTAGGTCAGGGTCTTCAGAGTCACACAGAGAGGAACCCAGTGCAAGGTGGGGTGCATAGAGGCTTCTAGCTCTCAGTCTTTGAAATTGCCTACTTGTCTCTGCTCCCAGGTCCCACTGGCCATGCCCAAGGGCGAGGTTCTCCTTGATGTTGTCAGGGCAAAAATATCCTGAATTCACACTCCTCAGCCTCCCACGAAGAGCCAATCTGACTGTGATCCCTGTATTTTCAGGTAAGGGTGACCCCCCTGCTCAGTCCCCTATGGACACAGAGGCCAAGATCCCCCTAGCATTAAGTGCTACCTTAGCCTCTGACTTCAGATGGCCTCTGTCCCCTCTGCATCTTTCCTTCTCGAAACCTTTGGCCTTCCAGGTCTGGGGTTTCTCTTCCAGGACACCCAGGCCACCTTCCCCCTTGAGATTCAGAGTACCTCTTGACTACAGGTGCCCTGCCAACCCAGATTTTATTCTCTCTATTGCTGATAAACCAGTCTGTGTGAGTCTAGTGTCCCCTAGGACTTAATGAGGCTGTAGCTTCATGATGCAGATATTTGATCTAACAAAACTAGAAGAAAAAGGCTGCCAATAAAACAGATTCTAGATGTGAGGTCATGGGTTTGCACTCCAAGTGACCAGAAACAGTAAGCCCACAGTGTAGCCACGGTGACTACAGCCTGGGGTGAGGGACTAAAGATGGCTGCGCTCCTTAGAGCATGTGACAGCCTCTCTCTCACTGAAATTATATGAAATTGTGTGCACAGCTGGTCCTGGGGTCCTGGACACCTGGGGTTCCGGGGTCCTAGGATTCTGGGGTCCTGGAGTTCTGAGGTCCTGTGGTCCTGGGACCTTGGGGCCCAGCATACACCTGTGCTCATGCCAAGTGTATGCACCCGTGAAATGGGGTGCCATCCTGTATCACATTCCCAAAGGAATCAGTACATTGGTTAGGATTTGTATTCAGCTGCTGATAATAGGAATTCAACTACAGTGTCCTAAAGATTTATTCTCAAAAGAGAAGTCTAGGTTTAAGCAGTCCAAGGTGGTGTGGAAAACTCCATGATTATCAGGGATCTGGGCTCCTTCTGTCTTTGACTCATCATCATTAGCATATAGTATTCATCCTTAAGGAGCCAAAATGGCTGACTGAGCCCAACCATCACATCCACATTCCAGGCAAGAAGCAGGCATGAGGATAGTGCAAAAATCTGTGTGTCATCTGTCTATCTTCCTTTTAAAAGATATTGCCCTAAGTCTACCCTACAAATTCTGTTTATACACCCTTGGTGACCTCTAGTTGTAAGGGAGACTGAGAAATTTAATCTTTATATTTTTTTTTAAAGATTTATTTATTTATTTATACAAGCACTGGGTACAGTCAGAAGCGCGGGAGGATGAGAGAATTCACCAGAGTCAGAGCAGGGAACAGAATAGGCAGACTGACGAAATACACTGCTGAGGGGAGCAGCGGGCGGCAGGAGAGGTCTGCGCGCTATGTGGGACCCTCGCCCCGGCGGCCGGGGATCGAACGGGTGCTGCGGAGGCTGTGGGCAGCTTCGCAGCCCAGCGCTCAACCGCTGCGCCACCGGGGAGGCCCAAGAAATTTAATCTTTAAACTGAGCATCTTGCTATCTGAAATAAAGCTGGGGTTCTGTTACAAAGAATAAAGAGGGAGGATATTGTAGGGTAAATTAAGTTGATCAGGCCTTTTACGCATTTGGCCTCTGTGGCTATCACCTGAGGACTTGATCTTGTTAACAGAGAGCACATGGGTATGGGGCATGTGTCCCTGATTGTGAACACCTGAGCACAGGTGTGTGTTCGGATGTGCAAGTGTGCACACCTGTGCCTAGGAGGGAGCGGACAAAAATGTGACATCACCCTGGGGGTGGTTACTGTTACTGGGCTCAAGTTACTGTTTCCCTGTGGCTTGTTTCTCCTGCTTACCATTAAAACCTGTGAAAATGATGCCAAGGGCTCCAAAATTCTCTTTCAAATCATTAGAACTGACAGTTAACCTACCCAACCTAGGATGGTTGCTAAACAGCTATATATCAGGAATGCAATAAGTCGGCTGATTCATAGCCAACAACTCCAACCAGCCAAATAAGCCCCAAGACCTTGTGCTTAGCTGACCTGGGCAAAGGCACTTTCCGTTCCAAGGAGACGGTGGGGTTCCACATGGTTCCAGGAGCTACCACCTCCCTACCCACAGAGAGTGGGAGGCCAAAGATCACCTGAGCAGGTGCTCAGCTGAGCTGCCTCAGCTGGAGTTTATGGTGCAGGAGAGTTAGTGGAAGAGTGGCCAAGTGAGGCCTGGACCCAGAGATGGGGAGACAGTTCAGAAAGTCGATTATTTCATGCTGATATGTGCCTTTTCATTGGGCATCTAAATTGCAAGCTGCCAAGTAACTCTTCTAGGATGTAGCGGATAACTAATTGCCCCCCTCCCCCACCTCTTCCCTAATGAAACACCTTTGCCTGCCTCTGGCTCCTACCAGGAGAGGCGCAGGATGCTGCCCAGAGCCTGCAATCTACCTGCTGTTTTAATTAGGAAAGAGGCATCTTCCAAGGGTGTCCACAGTGAAACTGGTAATTAGGCAAACATACTGCCTGCTCTTTCAAAACTGACTTGGATATCTTAGAACGGGCTGCCTTGACCAGCGCCGTTTAGTACCTCAACAAATGTATTGAGTACCTAGGATGTATCAGGCAGAGGCTAGGTGATGGGCAGGTTAGACCTCCCCATAACCAACAGGTAATTACCAATGTGATAGGCATTTGAAAGAGAATGCAGGGTGGAAGCAGACCAACGTGAGCCTGATGGGTTGAGTAGTGGCGGGGAGGGAAGGAGAGAGGAAGGAGAGGAAGAGAGAGCTCTTAGCCCGGAGGTCTGGGCCAGCGGAGACAGCCACAAGGGACAGTTATCAAAAAGCACATCGTTCAACCAATAGTTTGCTGAGCACCTGCTGTGTGTCAGACTCAGTTCTAGGCCTGGATGCTTTGGGAAACAAAGCAATGAGCTGCTCTTAGGACCTAGCTGGCAGGAATGAACAAAAAATGAATAACAAGTAAATACAAGCGCTATGGAAAAATAAAGCAAGAGAAGGAAATAGAGAGTGATGGAGGGGTGGGGGGGTAGGGAGGTTCCTATTTTTTACTGGCTAACCAGGAAAGGTGCCATTTGAGATGGGAAAGAGAAGCATTCATGGCATAAGCCTTAAGAATTGTCTGGGTCTTAAAAAAAAAAATTGTCTAGGTCTTTGGGCTGTGACAAGCAGAAAGAACAGCAAATGAAAAGGCCCAGAGGCAGGGGTGCGCTAAGCATTTGTTGAGGAGCAGCAAGGAGGCCAGTGTGGCTGCAACAGAAAGGGAAGGGAGCACAGGAGGGGAAGTCAGGTTGGTAAGGGGAGGCGGGTCACTGAGGGCCTCATAGGTCACAGTAAGGACACGGGTGATGGCCCTGCTGCAGTGTGGAGAGTAGGATGGAGTAGGCCAGGGTGGGAGGGGGTGGCCAGTTGGGAGAATATTACAGAAATCATGGGAGGTAGTGAATGTTTTGTCAAAGTCGTCAGGTACACTTGATTACCAAAAAAAGCCGCAGAATGGTCTAACCATGAAAAAAGGAATTTACTGGCTCACATTAAGGAATAAATTTCAGGAATAGTTGAATCAACTGAGGTCACTAGGAATGCATATACTTTTTTCCATGCCACCTTCTCCTGTGGTGGCAAATAGTGCTCCACAGTTCCCAGTTTGCATCCTATCAGCCCAGCAACTGCAGTGGAGGGCACCTCTTTCCCAATGACTCCTGCCAAAGTTCCAGAACAGGACTCATTGGCCTGGGAATTGGTCATGTGACTCTGATAGGCTCCACCTGGGTCATGTGCCCATTTTCAGAACCATGGAGGAGCAGTCAACCCCACCCAGACTTCATCAACTGAACTGATGAGGGAAGTTTCACAAAAGGAAATGATGGTTATGCTTTCCCGAAGAAGAGAGAACTGATGCTGAGAGCAGAAACAATAGGTACACTTTACATGGCATATGAAGAACAGAGAGCCACGTGGGATGCAGAGGCATCATTAGATGAAAGAAGAGAGAGAGGAATAGAAGGAAAGAAGAAGGAATATTAAAACCTGAGCGGGCTGGTTCCAGCAGAGGTTAAGGAGAAAGGAGCCATCTTCGAGGACTTCCTGGAATAGGAAGAACATACTCAGGCAGAAGAGGACAGGTGCATTTAGTCACAGGAGGGGCTGGCTGATCCATTGCATTGGGCGGGTACAGAGCCTGGCAGGTTAATTTCAGTAAGAAGACAGGGAGTTGCAAGGGTGAGTTTGCACGTGCCTGCCCCATGCCCTTGGAATATGTCCCACCAACTGCCTCCCTGGCCACCTTTCTATTTGTGGAGGAGTCATCACGCCCTGTGTTAGACACGGCTGCTGTTCCAAATGGATTATTGCAAATGATTTAATCACCCACATTAGCACACCCTGGCTCCCACGTGGGGGCCCTGGAGCTTCTCTTTCATCGGCCCTGGCAGAAGCTATTCTGAAGAGGCTGCTGCCCAAATCACTACAATTTACCAAGGCTGCTAGTACATGAGGCAGTCTTCAAAGTGTGCTGCCGCATGCCAGTGGGGTACAAAAGGATCTACTGTGGGGTGGGAAGAGAGAATTAGAACCTCTCCTTATATTTAGTTTTTTAATCTTATCTCTTTAACATTACTATTTAGTGTATGATTTATAAAATACAGAATATATTAGCACAGAAATATATGCATATAATTTACAAATGAGTTCATACTGGCATATTGGAGATATTCTTAAATATTTTACTGGTAGGAGTGAGCTGTCAGAAATGTTTGGGGTCTACTAGGGTAACAATAATAGGTAACCATTATATAGAACTTGTCATGTTCTAGGTTTTCTGTGTCCAGTGTCCAGTATTCACTCTTCACAGCAGCCCGTTTTACAGATAAGGAAACTGGGGCACAGAGAAGTAAAGTGACCCATAATCACTCAGCCTTGAGGATGTAGGGCTGGGATTTCCCCCAGTGGCGAGGCTTGGAACCCATGATCCCTCTCTGAAAGACTGGGTTCCTAGAACAGGAAGTGGGTATCCAAGATTAGTGAATTCATCCTTTGTTCTGACAGCACCTCTCAAATCCCACCCCAAATCAGAGTCCAAGGTCCCAAAAGAGCACCCCAATCCCACCCCATCCATACCTTACAGC